ACTCGCGATCTCTCCCGTCAGGGCGAACGTCCTAACGGTTGAGCTACGAGCTACGGTCTTTGCCGGTATTAAATTGGGGATATAAAGTGGCATATATGCGTACACCTGTCTGTCAGAGGACCCACTCGTCCGTCCATATACGTCATTGTATATCCCCGATCTAATAACGGCAAAGGCCGTGAGCTCGTAGCTCAACGGTTAGGACGTTCGTATCTAATACCAGCTAGACCGTGAAATCGCAGCTATAAAGTAAGGACATTAGCAATGACGGGAGAGATCGCGAGTTCAAATCTCGGTGTGGCAGCAATTTCAGCGGCCACACCGAAGTTGGGTATCCCTAGCCGATGACGCCTAATAAGGCAGAACAGGCCTTCCTAGTGTCCCATGTCTTTGCTGGTAATGTCCTTCAGCCTATATCCTAGCCGAAGAGTAAGAGTCTATTATAGGTAACACCACATAACCCAAAACTTCAGTTTTCTTTAATATGGGTCCGGCAGTTGTGGTAGTTTATTTTATTTTCAATTTATTATTTTATAAATTTATTTTAGTTAATTTATCTAATTTATTATATCATTAGGAGGGTTTGGCAGATTGAAATACTTCAATTGAGCCAATCGTGAAAATTTCGTGCCTTCGATGGCCACATTAGCAAGGAAGTCTTTAGTACAGCCATGCAATAAGTGGTACTACTAACTCCCGGCTAGTAGGGCATGGAGTTTACGCAGCTTTAAGAATGCAGTTGATGTATTTAGGCTGAAGTATTCATATCAGCTGTCGGTTCAAGTCTGAATACATTAGTTTCGAAAGATTTGCTCCCTTTAAACACATTAATTTCTGAGGCGTTTATAAAGCTAAAAATGCACGTGAAAGAGGGAAGCTAGATGCGTTTATATTTGCTGGAGTGTATAAAGGTTACCAAATCGGGGAAGCAAATACCTTAAGCCTACGGTTTGAGTCAAATAAGACGCCGGACATTTATGTTTTATTATTTCTATTTCTTTTCCGCTCATCCTCAACCCTTCATAGGTTCTGAAGCATTTGGTTGACGCGAACAAATTCAAAGAACTAATAGCCCTGGATCTTAGTTTCTGTCCCTCCTTGACAGAGGCAGCTGTCGTCAGCTTTCTGTCTATTTACGGAAAGAACCTGAAGGGTCTAATGCTCAATGGGAACCCGGTGCTTGCCGAGTACTTCTGGACCACGGTCATTCCCTTCCTTCCGAATATCCAGTACGTTCTGATTATCTCTGGAGTTCGCAGTGTTGACACTTTCAGACATGAATAAAGGTTCTTCAAATTTTAAATTCTTACTTACTATCCAGTAAGTTTGGATTATTTTTCGATATCACACCATTGACACTTTCAGACTTAACCTTGACCTTTACTCCTTAACTTATAAAGTGAGTAGCAGCTTGTCCAATAGGATCCTAGGCCCCTATTGGTTACATGTTTTGTTGGCAGAGGTGGCTGTGGTCGGGAAAGACCCTTGCATATTCACTACAACCCGCGGTGGAGCATTTATTCGGAAATCTGTTCGTCTAGCCTGGACCTCGAACTTCCGTTTTCAAAGGCATATCTCATGCTTAAGGAGATTTTAACGAGTGGACATTGCCCGCGCCCGCAGTATAAGGACGTGAGCAGCACTCCTCCCTAGTGTCCTACTCCTGAGTCGGCAGCCATCTTTCTGTTGAACGCAATTTTAGGGAGAACCTATCAGTTTATGTGCGATCAAATTGAAAAACATACGGAAGACGCTGTCAACTCTCTCATAACTTTCGTTTGCGCGTTACACCGCAAGTTTTTGATCGATACTTCTAGTTATTATTGGACGTTTCAGCTATTAGATGTCCTAAATATCACTGCAACACTCAAATAATCCAACAATCAAGTTTTATTATGCTATGACAGCAATGAACGAATACATTCAGCCTTGTTACTTAAGCTGGCTAAATTGGAGTTTTTTAGACTAAACGCGAGAAAAATAACGGGAATTACAACTTATGGATGAGGTTGAACAGGGTCAGTTTGTGGGGTCAACTGCTGGAATTTCAGCAAGCCCATTCAAGCCCTCCAAAAACAAATAACGAGAAGCTGTTCACGTGCATTATAAGTACGCAGTTGTGGTAACGATAAAAGAGAAACGACCACTCAGATTGGGCCAAGACACCGTCCATCCCGATTTGGTGCAGTCCTCAGTACAGGGATATGGGCTAGCGGGAATTCTTAGATGTTAGGGCCCCTGTTCTTATCGGAACGTAGGAAAAGATACAGTAGATGCCTGATCTCCTGAAATGTCAAACAAAATTCGGACATGCGATTTTGATTCCAACAAATTACTTCAGTATATCTGCGATATGGATTCTGGAGCAGCCTCATTGGACGATATTTCGATCGCGTCAGCATGTCGGCTTTTGTACGAGCTTCTTTCCAGCAGCCCACAAAAGATATATTATGTAATCCTACCTTAACCAACCCTATCTTTGAACGTGTAGTTACAATTCAGATTTCGAATAAGTCAACCATTACGATGAACTGAAAACAAAAACATTACGGACTTCCAGTTAGTAGAAGTCTGAAAATCACAGCGTGTGAATGCAGTTTTGCACTAAGAAACCCTGCAGAGATTTCTAATAGTTTAAGAATGTTACCTTTCTATCTTAGGATCTGCGTGCTGGGTTCACCCGACGGTTGGTTCTTCAAGTACAACACACGTGTCCATGTGGACCAGATCCTTCACGCCATTGCACAGAACTGTCCCAATCTGACTGCCCTTGAAATTCAATGGGACCAGGACACCCTGCGGTTCAGTGACAAAAGCCGAAAATTTATTGACAAACTCAGGTATGCCCTCCTTTGTTTGAATGCGTGCCAACTGTATTGAACTGCTACGTCGTTACCTTAGTTGCGTTCAC